AGGTGGTAAATCTTTATGGAAGCAGACTGCCCAGTCTTCCTTCCACAGAGTGGCTGGTAGGTTTGAACCACCAACCTTCTGGTTAGTAGTGAAATGCCTTAGGCAGTACACTGCCAGAGTTCCTTATGTATGACAGCATAGCCCTATTAAGAACTTTATACACACAAGAAAAGGACTAGAAAGAAATAACAGCTCTATGCAGTGGGGTTATGTGGGATTGCTTTTATTTTTTCTATTAAATGTTTTTCTGAATCTTCATTATGTGAAACTCCACAATGAAGTGACTTGCTTTGTGGGTGCAAGGGACAGTGTGCTTTAAGAGGCCTGGGCAGCTTTCACAATCAGGGAAAATAAAAGGAAGAATTAGTGTCCTCACCTGCCTTAAAAAAAATGCAGGAGGCATTTCCTGTCTCAGGAAAGCAAGAAGCCGTGTGTTTGTCCTGGGCCTCTGTCCTTCACTAACGGCCTCCTTAGCTTAGTCATGGGAGGACCTGGGATGGGATTTCCCTCTGGAAAGCTGCCCCGTTACTTAATCAGGAAGAGAGCCTCCCCCACCTTGGCCAAGTGGGTACAATAAGTCAGTGAAGAGGACTTACCCCTATAAAGACAAGAGGATGTATAAAGACAAGGATGTCTTAGGAAGGTTTCCAGGGAAGCCTTAGAAATTTGTTTTTAAAGTCTAATAAGAAAAGGCTGGGAAGAGAACGCATTCTGACTTAACCAAAGAGAGAGACAGCATATCTCCCCAGCCCCCGTCTTGGCCCTGGCCCGCCTTAGCCTGCCCTTCAGCCGATACCTTGTTCTTCAGCATCCCCTTAGGGCCCACCACATTTTCAAATATGTGCTTTCCCACATGGGCATCCACTGCCGAGAGGGGATCATCAAAGAGGTAGATGTCGGCGTCACAGTACACAGCCCGGGCCAGGCTCACACGCTGCTTCTGGCCCCCAGACAGGTTTACACCCTGGGAAGAAAGAACCAAGGTAGAAGAAGGTGGATTTCCTGGGAAACCTGGAGACTTGAGAAATGTTGCTGAGCCACTGAGGGCAGCCTGTTCAGAGGCAGAAGGCAGAGGACCCAGGCAGGTGCCCTGCAGGGCTGCTTCTGTCTCCTCCTATTTCAACCTGTGGCAAAGCCATGGGATTACAACGCCATGGACATGGGCTCAAATCCCTGCTCTGCTGCAGCCAGGGATGGAAACATGGGCTCGAGTGGGGCTTAGCCACGTGGAGCCTTCACTGCCTCAACTGTAAAATGGGTTGAACAGAAAGAACCTGAGCTTCCTCTGAGCTGCTGAGCATAGCACCTGGTAGGGTGCTCAGTAAGGGGCAGCTGCTGGCACCAAACCGTGCTGGCTCACAGGAGACTGAACGTCGGCAGCAGTGGACGTGGACAACATGATTGCTGTTGTTGCTGTTAACAGGTGGCATATTCTGGCTACTCCAGCCTGGAGGATGTATACCATGGAGGCTGGAATCTGTCCCCCATCCTATTCACTAGGGAAAGGGTGCCACGTGTTAACCTTCACCAGGGCACTGCATGAGCCAACGGTGGCTCCGGCTCTCCTACAAGAGAAAACCCTGTCATTGCCATATTTGGCTGGGGAACTAGAGCTAAACCACCCCCTCTGTTAACGGCACAGCCCCTCTCCTGAAGATGCTTGCCCTGTCCACACACAGTCCAGTCCACAACCAATCACAGGAATAGGGCAGACCCAGCAGTGTTTTGTTCCACTGTGCATGGGGTCACCATGAGTTGGGGGCCAACTCAGTAGCAGCTAGCAACATCAATATGTATATTTGCAATACTGACACCTTTCCTTCTTTGTCTTATGACTTTGTAAACATATACAAAGGTAGCATGCAGTTCCTGGTCCCCTGCTTTGGGGCTTGGCCAAGTGGCTTGTTTATGGGTACAAGTGACAGTGTGTTTTAAGAGACATCACATGTATTTTTTGTTCTCTTGTATCACCATGAGAAGGGGCACCCCCCATTTGGTAGTTTCTGCCCCCTCAGCCTGGGATCCCACAAGAAACCATGTAGGGCAAATCTGAGCCAATCTGCAGCCAGGAGTGCAGCTCAGGTAGCCTGCAGCAAGCAGCAGAGCCATCCAGCTGAGCCCAGATTGGATCATAAAGGCTATACAGAAACCCACAAACATGAGAATAAGAGTACTGTTACAAGCCACTGAGACTGTGGTTGTTTGTCACAAGTCAGCTGACTGACTCAGGACCAAAGCTGAAGCCGCACTGACCTTCTCGCCAATCTCTGTCCGGTCCCCACTGGGCAGGATCTCCAGGTCTGGGAGGAGAGCACAGGCCTCAATCACAGCCTTGTAATACCGCTCCTGCATCTGGTGTCCAAAAAGGATGTTTTCTCTGAGCGAATCATTCTGGATCCAGGCCTGCTGGGGGACATAGGCCACTGAGCCCTACGTGGCAGACGGAGAGAAGGCAGAGACAGACATGATTAACAAGGTAGCAGCCAGCCTGCTTACCTGCCGCAAAAGCCCTGTTTTATAAGACACCTTCATCACACCTTTGAAAGTGAGTCACAAAGGACTACAGACACCAGAGCCGGGGTCAGAACTCACACTAGGTCAGAGGCGCTCCATCAGCCAAGCCTAAAAAGCAGCCATCTCCACTGGTGAGTTTATTGTTAGAAATTTAGTAACTATTTCCTGAGTGCCTACAACAATACACAAAACCCCTGCCTCCACAGTGTGAAAGACCAAGACTAATTTAAAAAATTATGTGATGATGGTTGTGGCAGCTAAAAGATAAAAATAAGAGAGACCTTTAAAAGCCACAGCAGGGAAGGAATCCCGAGGCAACTGGAGCAAGGACTTGGGCACCAAAACAGCCACTTCCAAAGGCTATTTGGTTTCTGTTTCCACATAATACAAGGTGTCAAGAATGGCATGGAAATATGGGTATTTGTTTCATGTGGTCCTTTGTACTAAAAATACAGAAATTAGTCTTTAAAAAGATTTAAAGGACTGAAAGGTGAGGATAAGTTGATCTGACAAGGAGGGGGGACAGGGCCTCCTAAGCAGAGGGAATAGGACGTGCCAAGGAAGGCCTGGAGATGAGAAGTACTTGGCAGTTCAAGAGGTGGTATGATGACGACAACACTGCCTGGAGACAAGACAGGCAGGAAACAAGCTGCAGGGAGCGGCAGGGGCTGGCTCAAAGGGGGCTCAAGGGGGTGTGGGCCATATGGGGGAAGGGGTGGCACAGAAAGCCCCTCAAAAAACCAAAGACCAAATTCACTGCCATTGAGTCTACTGCAACTCACAGAGACCTCCAAGGCTACAAATTTTTGTGGAAGCAGATTGCCCATGTTCCTTCCATGGGGTGGCTGGTGGGTTTGAACCACCAATCTTGTGGTTAGCAGCCAAATGCCTTACACACTATGCTATCAGAGCTCTTTAGATAAGGGAATTCTGCCAGGACAAAGCTGTGAGTGGAGTCTAGGCACCTTGATCCTTAATCTTAACTCTCAGATAAGAGACTGTTAGGGATTAAATTGTGTTCCCCCCCAAATATGCCTTGGAATCCTAACCCCTCTACCTATGGAAAGTCCCTGGGTGGGACAAACGGTTATCTACTTCTGTAAAGATCACAGCTTAGAAAACCCTACAGAGCAGTTCTATCTGTTAACACACAGGAACACCATGTGTCTGAGCCAACTCTACCACAATGCTTTTGAACCCGTGGATGGAATCCCGACTGGGAACAGGGTTTTCTTTGTTGGGTTACAGAGGCCATCTCAGTGTAGAGTGTGTCCTAAACCTAATCACTTCTGAGTAATAAGGAGCAGCACAGACACAGAGACAGGCAGGAACAAACTGGGAAAACAGATACCATGTGAACGAGTGGCCAGGGCTCCAGAAGCCAACACAGACAAGGGCCTTCCCCTGGAGCCGACAGAGCGCACCCTCCCCTATGGCTGATGCCTCGAGTTTGGACATCCAGCCTCCGACGCTGGGAGAAAATACAGTTCCGCTCCTGAAAGCCACGGCACCTGTGGCATTTCTGTTACAGCAGCACTAGACAATTGAGAGAGTAACGAAACTGCTGATACGCTGAGTAAGAGGTCAAAGCACCACAAAGTCCGTGGTAGAACTATGCTAATGCAGAGGGTAGACAGGCATGATCTATATAAGCATACCAACCCCAAACACCTGGAAAATGCAAAATTTTAAAACACATTTCTAAATCTTCCCTTACCAGGGCAACACAATCAGACACAACCAGATCTATAATTTCCTCAGACCAAGTACTCAGAGTGCCCTCATTTCCAGACTTATCATTTTGTATTTTGAGGCCTTTTACTCTAAAAGACAGTGGTTTTAAAGTAACATGACTTCGTCCCCCAGGAGACATCTGGTGATGCCTGGAGAATTCCTGCTTGGGGGTGCTCATGACATCTAGAGGGTAGAGGCCAAGGATGCAGCCCAACATCCTACAATGCTCAGGACAGTCCCCACAATTAAGAATTGTCCTGCGCACGGAATCCAGACTTTCTGGATTGCCCTTCGATCATCTTTAAACCAAAAATATCCCCTAACGTCCTCTTAAAATCAAGCAATAGTCTAACTTAACTACGTAAAGAATATCTGCCTTGAGCATTAGGCTCTTTTAAGATCTATCTACTTGGGATCAAACGGACGAGAGCAATTCAAAAGATGGGAATCGTAGAAGGTGGTGAGTTTATGTTAATGGGGGAAGAACAACTCAGAAAGGAGGGTGAGAATGGTTGCCCAATTTGAAGAACATACTCAGTGTCACTGAATCGTACATGTAGTAACTGTTGAATTGCTGTTTGTTTTGCTATGTATAATTTCCACAACAACAAAAAATAATAAAATAAATTACATACATAAAAACAATATCCAGCCCAGCAGCTGAGGAAGTCCCCAGTTAATGAAACAAAAAGGGATGTGGATCCCACCATGACTGGTACTTTTCTTCTGTTAATCTGGTTCACACTGCCCAGTATTCTCACTTTATAGCATGTATTGAAAGTAATGACATAAATTTCTTTAAAAAAACAGCTAAATGTCATTAGTTTGGACTCAACTACTGTAGTGTAGACATTCTCACCTGGGCTAAAGGATATCATATAATCAATAAAGGAAGAGTTTGGCTCTGATATGAAAGCAAAGGAATAAACCAAGCATTCCCAAAAGTTCATTCTAAGTGACTACGATTCTAAGGATATAAATAGTTGCTGTACAGACAAAAAAGAGGTACAAATATGCATGGGACACATAGGTTAAACAATGTTAAATTGTTTTTTTCCCTCTTTGCTGGATTTCTCAGAACCTTTATTTTCAATATTTGTTATAAACTACCAAAGGGCAGGAACCAGAATATGCAGGATTTCCCAAGCTTGTTTGAGTTTCTAATGTTGAACCATCCTTGCATTCCTGGTATAAATCTCATTTGGTCATCGTGTATGATTCTTTAAATATGCTGTTGGATTTTGTTCACTAATATTTTGTTGAGGACTTTTTTCCAAGCTTTTTTGAACCTGGGACCCTTTATTCCCAAATATCCCATAAGACAAACACACGTAGAACATGCTTCAGAAAACACTGGAGTCAACAAAACTTTGCAGGGAATTATTTCCTACATCAAGGAAGAAGCTTTCATGAGGAATGAACTAAAAGGAGAGAACATGCTTTTAATTTCCTATGGGAATCTTCCATTCATTAAAGCAGCCTTCTTGAACTGTCTCCTGGGGCATAGTTCAAGTGCAGGCAGGCCTCAAATTTACAAACTAGTTCAGTTCCTAAGTCTGTCTTTAAGTTAATTTGTATATAAGTCAGAACAGCTAGTACAGTCTAATTCTTATCTAACAGCAGTTAAATGTTTGTCTTAGTATAGTGTATCTTTCAATGCACAAAAACCCATTAAAGAAATACTCCCCAAAACACTAAAACATCTTTAACATAATACAGGAATAATATAAATGTTTTCATGTATGTCACAAAGTAGCATCTGTTTGTTATTACAAACCATTGTATGTACCTCGAATCTTTACTATAATAGACGTAATAAGCTTTACATGAGGAGCTCTGGTAGCGTAGTGCCTAAGGCACTTGACTGCTAACCAGAAGGCTGGCGGTTCAAACCCACCAGCCACTGCTCAGAAGGAAGGTTGGGCAATCTACTTTCGTAGTGATACCACCTTGGAAACCCCAGGAGGGGTCGCTATGAGTTGGGTCCAATTCAACAGCACATAACAACAACAATAGGCTTTTCAGGGATTGGTTCACAACTACAGGTTGCATGTAAATTAGACATTTGTAACCCAGGGACTGCTGTAGTTCAAAATACTCTGTGTATTTAAAATAAGACTGCAGCCTTCTTCTAGCCCACATGAAACATTCAATGAAGGGTCATAGAGTTCAAACTATTCCTTTAAAAAACTTTTCTTTGATGATATTCCAACAACATAAATGAAGAAATGCCTAGCTTTGTTACACTTACATAAAGAGCCATAGGAGATCCATATAGAGAAAGAGTGAGCCAGGACGACGCATGCATAAAAAGGCTGAGAGACACGGAAGGGCCGAGATGACAGGGATGAGGCCAAGTGTGCCAGCTGTGCATTTACTAAGTATTTACTGAGTGTGTACTATGCACCGAGCACTGCCCTAGGGCTAAAATTGAAAAACAAAACAAAAAACAAAACTAAACCCCTTGCCATTGAGTTCATTCTTCTTTTTAAATAACAGTATTTTATTGTGTTTTTAGTGAAGGCTTACACAACAGTTTATGTTCCCATTCAACAATCTGTACACAGATTGCTCACTGACATTGATTACTTTTGTCACAATGTGTGAACATTCTCATATTTCCATTCTGGTTGTTCTGTCCCTTAACCTTCTCATCTTTGTTTTAAAGTAACTGTTGACCATTTAGTCTCATATAGAGGATTTTTTCAAAGAGCGCAGCACTCATGGGCGATGTTCTCTATTTTGTGAGTCAATCTATTGTTTAGCTGGAAGGTGTCCTCAGGGCTCAGTTGCCAAGAGCTGATACAGACTCGTGGCGATCCCACTTGTACAAAGCAGAACTGTGCTCCGTGGGGTTTTCTCACCTATCACCTCAATGGAAGCAGAACACTAGGCCTTTCTTGTGTGGTGCATTAGAATCACTAACCTGTATGTTAGCAGTCAAGTGCAAACCATTTGTGCCACCCAGGGAGCCATGGTGCTAGGATATACAGTAAATAAATGACACCCAAATGTCTGCCTTCTAGGATGATGCAGAGAACAGCAGAAAGAATGACAGAGGAAGAGACGGACAGAGGAGAGGTCAGGAGCGAGACTCTGCTGCTCCCACTTCATGCACAGGGACAGTCACAGCCACATGAAGAAATGCAGCAGCATCCTTGTCCTTCCTCTCAGGCAGCTGTACCACTGCCCTGCCCCCACCCGGAGCCCGGCCGTACCTTGAGAGCCACGTGCCCCTCCACTTTGTCCATCTCGGCCAACAGTGCTGAGAGCAGAGACGATTTTCCACAGCCCACCTGGCCCACCACTGCCACCAAGGAACCTTCTGGAACCGAGAAGGTGATGCTGAAACGATATCACACGCTTTGTTACGTCGGTTACACGTTGTCTGAATAAGCCCGACAGGCTGATCCCCCTGCCCACAGAACCTGGATTTATGAGGGTTAAAACAGTTACTGAGTGGAGAGTGAGATGGAAGGAAAGGTTATTAGAAGCATTTAGAAAAATCCCTTCTGCAATTTCTACTGCTGAGCTGGGTCTAGTGAACAGTCCTGGGGGGCTTCCCCTTGTGCTACCTGTGACAGCTGGGCTGGGACGCATGCGCACCTGCAAAACGGTGGCCAGAGAGACCTAAGGAATCAGGTGATGCTAAGAGAGCCAAAGGGACAGGTGTAACTTTGCCTGGGGGCATTGACAGGCAGCCTGATGGAGAAGACAACACAAAGCAAATT